GAGCGAACACCCCGTTCTCCCCCCCCCCCCCCCCCCCCGACTCTGACTTTATACCCTTCATGGGTGGCACTCCCAAGACCACTTATTCTCTGCTGCTTTAAAAACTTACACACCTGAATCTGGGACAATGCCGGTTACGTATACTATACATCTCACAAACTGTGTAAACTGATGCTTGTAACTTCTCATGATCAAAGCTTGACAGAGCTACAATGCCTTCCTTTTTAACTTGTATCTTGACTCTGACTTTATACCCTTCATGGGTGGCACTCCCAAGACCACTTATTCTCTGCTGCTTTAAAAACTTACACACCTGAATCTGGGACAATGCCGGTTACGTATACTATACATCTCACAAACTGTGTAAACTGATGCTTGTAACTTCTCATGATCAAAGCTTGACAGAGCTACAATGCCTTCCTTTTTAACTTGTATCTTGTAAACTTCATCTGAAACATGAGTTTTCATAAATTTTTTTCTTTCTGGGGATTGTTTGTGAGCTTCTCCTATTTACTCTGCAAGTTCCTTAGAGCAGAGATGTAGGCTATCCGTGTTCTCTGATCTGCGGTGCTGGTTATCCTTAGCTATGCATTGTTCTTTAGAGAACCCAAATAAATCAAGACCCTGCCACAAAGAGCTCACAAGACCAAATAGCACAAGACAAACCCTCTGAATTTCAGCATCTCAGCGTCCTGCGGATTTCTGGTAGGCTTTGCAAACTGCCCTGAGAGGCTTTGGGCTCTTTGCTAATGGGGGTCCAGTCTTTTGCCACCGCATTCTGCCTCTCTCTCCCCCTCTGTCTCCCTGTAGGTTGGAGTTGCTTGCACATTGTGAGACCTGTGGAGAGAAGTTTCATTAGTACTGGAGCCTTGCTGTGTTTTCTGCTGTGATTTTTGGCTGAAGGCGGTGACATTTTGCCTAAATGGCACCAAATTCAGTGGCTCTGCTGCAGAAGGCCTTGTACGGGTAGCCAGGGGTCCATCATTGTATTTCCTACCTGTGCCCTGGAGCTGGAATTACAGTGCTTACTCTCTACACACCGTTCCATGGAACCAGGCAGCAGGAGGTAGGGGAGCCACAGAGGTCATCTGACTTACAGCCAGGGAGCGAGGAGAGCCTGGGGTGGACACTGGGTGAGAATGATCCCTGGACAACAGTGATGCAGCCATGGCAAAGGGACCAGCGCTGCAGAACCCCTCTCCCTTTCTGAGCCAGGCCAGCTGGAAATTGTAGCAGTATCCAGATCCAGGAAGAGTGGAGCAGGACCTCTGGAGAATATGGCAAGAAACAGAGGCAGGGATAGGACAGGGACCCTGGGAATCATAAGGATCCTCTGGAGATATTCATGAATGAAGTTACACCTGGGTGTATTTTTGGTCCTGGTCCATCATAGAAAAAGTCATGGACCAAAATCTCCTTAGTGAGTATTCCTTGCAGTGATTATTTCCTCACACTGTCTTTCTTTACTCTGTTCTCTCAGCCACTAAGCTCTTCTCCCTGGCTCCACAGGCCTTGTTTGGTTCCTCCACTGCTGGTCTGTTCCAGTTGGTCTCAGTATTCGTACATTTCCACCACCACCCCTTGTCTCAGCTAAATGTTTGTCTCACTGGCTTCAAGCCTCTGCTGCTGATTCTGTCACCATGCTAGGCTGTGAGAAATCCCTGTTCTCATTTATACTGTTCCCTGGCAGACACTTACAAACAACATCCTGTCCCCTCACACTAAGTCACATAGATTTAGCATGCTGAGGAAACACTCCTATGACTCCAGTGAGACCGCTGGATCAGACCATTGCTTCCCAAACCACGGCTTTTATTTTCTCTCATGCAGCAAGAAGACCTGAACCCAATTCTTGGATCCAAAGCCTGCCCCCACCCGCAGTCTCTGGGGAGAGCTGGAACCTGAACCAGGATCTGGATTGGCATTTCAGAGCTCTGCCTCCTGCCCAACAATCCCCTATAATGGGTCAAACCCAAACCCGGGATCCAGATACTGGGGTCTTTGAAATCTGGATCAGAATTTAGCAGCTTGGTCCTATTTCTAGTATTTAGTACAGATACATCAGCCAGTGAAAGCTCAGGGAGACCTGGGAGCCTCTTCTAACATACACAAACAGGTAAAACAGTTGGGAATGGGCTGCTGTCCCCATGAACCTGTGCTAAGTACTGGCCAGAGAATTGTTGTGCTTCTTTAGTTGAAGAAAGTGCTTTAGTTGAAGGTGCTTTGTTGACAGCACCCACCACCCTGCCCTGTTGTTTCAGTTACAGATGGGCCTGAACCAACACCTTAGAACCCAGCACCTTTTAGTCTTTGGGGTAAAGTCCAGGTTGGGATTCAAATGTTTTGGCTCAGGCCTTTCTCTTATCAGTGACAGATCCTGGTTGGGAACATCCTGATGGAACTGGGAGAACTGGCACTAAAGGACAAGGACTGTCTGGCTCTGACAAAACCCATGGGGAGAGGAGGTTATCAGTATTGTAACTCCCATGATGCTTTCGCCCTCTCTCATCTGCTGCTGACCAAAGAGATCACTGTATATCAACTGATCTCACAATCAGGATGTAGAGTAGGAAGGGGGACTGGAACAGCGCCCATCCTCTTCTCACCCTCCCCCCGGGCTTAGGGGGTCCAGCTGCTCCCCATTGCTGTCTGGTGAAGTGAGGACTCACCAGGCAGGGAAATCGAAAGACAGCAGCAGGAAGAGCCAGTATTTGGCTGGGTAATCCGAGGACTACCAGCATTTTCTGCCAGTGGGTAGAATGGGAACCAAGGCAGATGGGGTAGAAGAAATGCCAGCTGGGAGTCTCCCATTCACCTTTTTTTCTTATCCAGCTGACTCTCCAAACTCTACTGTGAAGAGGGGAATAGCGACAGAGCCCTGACTACCTTCCCTGCCCTGAAGGGGAGCGGGGATGACAGAGAGTAAAGCAATACTCTGCAACCTAGAGACTCGGCTGAAATGTTCTGATCTAAAATACAAGCATAGTCATGGAAGGTGTCACATTTCACCTTTTAGTATTCTGCCCCTGGCTGATGGCCTACTTGGCCATTGAGGTGAAGTAAGAACATAAGAACGGCCATACTGCATCAGACCAAAGGTTCATTTAGCCCAGTATCCTGACTTGTGAATATGGCCTATGCCAGGTGCCACAGAGGGAATGAACAGAACAAGTAATCATCAAGTGATTCCTCCTGTGACACTCATTCCCAGCTTCTGGCAAACAGAGGCTAGGAACACCATCCCTGCCCATCCTGGCTAATAGTCATTGATGGACCTATCCTCCATGAATTTATCTAGCTCTTTTTTGAACCCTGTTACAGTCTTGGCATTTGCAATATCCTCTGGCAAGGAGTTCCACAGGTTAACTGTGCATTGTGTGAAGAAATATTTCCTTTTTGTTTGTTTTAAATCTGATGCCTATTAATTTCATTTGGTGCCCCCTAGTTCTTGTGTTAGAGAAGCTTTTGGGCTGAGAATACTTGATGTATATAGTGCTTTGGCTACTTCCTGCCCAGGCATGTCTCCTAAACCAGGAGTGCAAGGGAGTCTAGAATAGATCTCTACACTGGCTGGGAACATCTTGTACAGTGCAGATGTTCTCTGGGGTGGTAAATCTACTACCCTTGAGCAAGAAAGAATCAGACTCATGCCCTCCCAAAGTCTTTGCCTGGATTAAACAGTCATGGAAGGAAGTGTTGACAACACAAGTTCATACGCACCTATAAGTGACTGTGAGAAATGGCGGCATAACCTAGTTTGCACCTCTGACTTGATTTCTGCAGAATGTTTATGATAAAATCTAAAAGGCTGTTCGTTTTCACTGCAATGATAAAACGTGTCAGAACAGGAGAGAATTTCCCCTCCAGACTAAGAAAATAGCGTGTGAACAGAGGTGCAGGTAGTTTTGCATGGCTACATAATTCCTGGTGCATTCTAGAAAATGCCATGAGACAAACCCACAGAAAGTAACAGACCAAACTCAATCTCTTTGTTATGGAAAGGTGCTGTCACAAGCATGACTGCTGCTATGACAAGGCAGAGCGGGAAGGCTGCAACCCCAAGATGCTGAGATATGAATGGACTTGTGAACGCAACACCGTGGTGTGCAGTAAGGAAATGACTCCACTTTCCTTTTGTGCTTTAGATGATTTATTCCATTCCCTGTACATTAGGAGCACAGACTGGCATGAGCACTTTATGTACCATAAGTTTAACACGGTATATGGTGAGCTGGATTTTAAACTACCGTATATACTTGATCATAAGCCCATTCGTTCAAAAGCCACCCCCAAGTTAAAAAATATGTAAAAATCACAATGACCCATTCATAAGCTGACTCTATATTGGTGGTTTGCAAACTTCCAGTCCCCTCAGCATAAGCTGCTGACACCTCGGGATGTTTTGTGTAGCATCTACAGGTACAGAGCTTTTCAGCTCCCATTGGCTGCTGTTTGCTCCTATTGGGTTGCTACTTCCTGCCACTCCTATTGACCCGTAACGGCGAACAGCAGCTACTGGGAATTTAGGGGCTCTTTGCCTGCAGACACTCCATGTATATAAAATGTCCTGGTGCGCCAATAATTTGCCCTGCTGGGCTGGGAACTAAGTTTGCTGACCCCCGCAAGTTAAAAAAAAATTGGTAAAATTGGTAATAAGCTGATCCCTGCTCTTTACTGCATCATTTTTTACCAGGCTTATGCTCGCGTATATAGGGTAGTTGTTCAGACAACTTCTGTTTAAATTCATTTTGTTTGGGGTGGGCGCTGCAAATGGAGCAGGAGCATTTAAAAATATTTTCTAAAACCATGGTTCTCTCTCCATGGCCTCAGCTCCTCCCAAACTCCTTTAATCCCGTTGCTGCAGATCTTTAACTATGGAGGGACTCTGTTGATGTAGCAGGTCAAATTCAACCCAAATATGTGGGGGTAGGCTGAGGGAGTACTACATTCAGGTAAAAATACCTGTGGCTTGTCTCTACTATGATTTTACTTGGCGTTAGTTTACTTGATGTAAAAACACACCCACTTTTGAGGTGAAAGAACTGCCGTGGCGTAGCTATGAGGCACAGAAGTAAGTACACTAAACACATAGGTGAATGTTGTGTGAGAATGCCCTGATTCATGGTTGCTACAGTCATATGAGCAAACATGAGTTAAATAGAACTGAGCTAACTCTATGGTAAGCCATAGTAATGCCCAGACAGCTTCCCCTAGCCATTTTCGAATGCAGCAGCCAGCAGCTGCTGGCCTCTTATAACCCCAGGGGAGATTTGTGGGGGAAATACTGCATGCTTTCTCCTTATGGCAAATCAACTGCCCTAACCTAGAGCATAGCAGTCCTTACTGGTACAGGGAGGTGTTATGACTGACTCAATACAAATGGGAGGGAATAATGATTTAATGCCAGGAAATGCTATAGAAGTTTATTCGAACAATGGAAAGGGAAATTAAAAAAGTGGAGCTGTTTGCATTGTGCCATACTTGGGCTGTGTGGGTAAATACCTCACTTGTCAGCAGCTGATTCATACATACAAATATTTACAGTGGAATGAAATGGAAACTCCTTTTGCTGTGGGATTTATTTCTCCCCCTCCCTCCTTTTGCTGCTACCGTGCAATTTTGTTTGCTGAACGAAAAAAGGAGATACCATTTTCTTCTGAACAAACGCATTTCAGAATGTGCTTTTCTCTGTCATCTCCCTGTCTGCATGTAAGAATTGTATTCAGTAAACATTCAAAATCTATGAGGTATTGCAAGCTGTGAAACAGGCGCCAGGCTAAAATGCCACACGAACTGCTCTAAGGATAGTAAACTGAAGGTCCTGGGCATGCTCCAGAGACTAGAACTCAAGAGGCAGAGGGCAAGGCAAAAACAGAAAAATGGGGCTCCTTCAATCACCACAGCTGAAGGTGCGGCATTCTGTTCTGCCCGTGCAAACCCACCAACAGCAAAGGGGATGTCCTGGGGCTACAGAAAGTCTAATTTGGCCTGCAGATCCTTTATGACTAGTTATGGTGTGTGAGAAGGAAGTAATTCAGCTTGACTCTCCGATGCATGTTGAATTTCCTGGGCTGAGAACTAAGAAAAACACCTTCATTTGTGTGAACTGAGCCAGCTTCCAGAATAGAAGCAAAGTTTAATATACGCAGCTTTTTTTGGAAGAGGTGGAAGAAGAGGAGAAACAGCATGAGGGATGTCTATAATAAGTACAAAGTGAAAGACTGGTTAAAAAAAAGATGTAGGTGCAAATTTTCAAAAAGGCCACTGAATTTGGGTGAAAACAGAGGCCCTCCACCCTTTTGAGCACTTTGGAAAATGTGCTTAACATGCATTCAGTGAGTATCACACGGCAGGCATCGTTTTCTGGCCACTGGCCATTTGCCACTAGCTATTGCTATCTGATGTGCATGGTTGTATTTGAACTGTTCATCCTCTGTTGTAACTTTCTTTTTCAGATAGGCTGACAGACCGATGCCAAAAAATGGTGTGCCAATGTGACCGAGAAGCAGCCAGATGTTGGGGCATAGCCCCTTATAACCCCCACTACGTCCTCTGGCCAGATTTCTTGTGTGGACAGACTAACCCCATGTGCCAGTTGACTTAGATATTGAGGGGCAAGACTTATCTTCTGGGGACATTTTTCTATTTTCTAAGATACCACAATAAAATTGTTCATCTTTGATCAAGACTGATGAGGGGGCTAGAGAATTTCTGCCAGAATGCTGGTGGCCAGGAGAGAAAAAGGAGTGGTTAGGCACCTCCTTGGTCTTTAGAAGTAAGGCTCAGGGCCTGCCCCCAACCCGGCTTCTTTAGTTGAAGAGGGCCAAAGGCATCTAATAGCACACCACAGCAATACTGAACACTGCAGTTACGGAGAGAAAGAAAACATGTTGGCAGTAGCCACTGGCACGCTGTCCTTTCACGTTGCCTTATACTGAGCCCCCATACATTGTGGAAAGCATGGGAATGCTCTGTTTGGTTGTCATTAATACCCACTGATGGCTACACTGTCCATCAAAGACTCAAAATGGCTGACGTCGGAAGTGCAGAAGCCATCTTTAAGTCCAGGGGCTCCTGGAGATGGATAGATAGGAGTCCCTCATTTCCTCTATCACAAGAGGCCATCTGCATAAAGATGTGGTGGTTACTTCTCTTTAAAAAGGAATCCGGACTCCAGACAGGAACCCTGGTCAGGGCAAGAATTGAACATTTGTCACATTTTTGTGTCTCTGAAAGTACTGGCCCATAGTGTCCTCTTTTTCTCATCTTCACACAGCTAGGAACACCTCTGAGAAGAACTTCAGAGTTGAGAGGAGAGCACATTTGCCTTTTGGGTACTCATCAAATCCTGGACTCACCAGAGTGTATAGGGTCCACTGCTCCACATTTTAGATCCTGATCTGTATCTGTCCTGTACGATCTTGGCTTATCCCACTTTCGCAGCAGTATATGATTGCCTTCAGAAATATTAAACCATGACACTAAGAATGTAGACAGCATTATTCATGTTAAAGAAACCATGTAAAGTTTTTCATTCTGCTCTTAGTTGTGTTCTTTATTTTTGGGTCTCTACCTCACACATTTGAGTCTTAGCATGAGAAAATGGACATGACTTAACTTACTCGCATCAGCCAGTGTAAAGTTGGGCAGAACTGCAGTGTGGTGGGTGGTCTGGCCGTGATGGTTTTGGCAGAGTGGGATAGCTTGAGTACTACGGATGTGAAGGACATGTCAACAGGATAGTTGACTAGTCGCTTCCACCCCTCTTGCTGCCTCTGTCAGAAAGAGGCAGCAAGGAAGGGGAGAAGAAGGGGGTACTTCAAAGCAGTAGCACCTCATGGAGCAGCTGACCTCGGGCTCCATGCAGCTTTGAAATGCTGCATAGAATCCAGGATTAGCTAGGGACTCCCCAGCTGGCCCCAGGCTCTGTGTGGCACTGCCACTTTGAAATGCCGCAGGGAGACTGCGTCAGGCTCCTCATGGCATTTCAAAACGGCAGCGCCATGTGGAGCTCTGGATCAGCTGGGGACTCTCCTGCTGACCCCAGGTTCCGTGCAGCACTGCTACTTTGAAACGCCGCTATAGGAAACAGTCGCTTCCCATTCTGTATGTGTGAAACTGATTGTTCCTTCCTCAGTGGAGTACTTTGCATTTGTCCTTCTTAAACTTCATCCCATTTACTTCAGGCCATTTCTCTAGTTTGTCCAAATCATTTTGAATTATGACCCTATCCTCAATCCCTCTCAGCTTGGTATCATCTGCAAACTTAATAAGTGTATTCTCTATGCCAATATCCAAATCGTTGATGAAGATACTGAACAGAACCAGTCCCAAAACAGACCCCTGTGAAATCTCACTTATGTCCTTCCAGCAAGCTTCTGAACCGTTAATAACTACTCTCTGAGAACGGTTATCCAGCCAGTTATGCACCCACCTTATAGTAGCCCATGTCCTATACTATACTAGCCCATGTAGTATGTCCATGCTTTTGAAAATCCCAAACAGATCCCCTACTGTTCTCCAGGGAGCTTGACCTCAGAGAACCTTATTATATGAGATTTCCTGAAGCCTCTGAAAAGCCTTTGTCTGAATTACACCCAGGCCTCGCTGAAGATTCAAGCTCTATCTGGAATTTTTCTGGAGTACTGTAAGAATGTTAATGTTGCCTTTAATTATTTTATTTTGTTTGAGTCAAGAAAACCTCTTTGTATTCTGCCTAATAAGTCTTCTGGTAAAATCAACCTTCTAGAGTACTTCAATTCTTTTGGCCAGGGTATTGGTAAAACGGCTCTTCCGCTACCTCCACATTCCTTCATTTCAAGAGTTCACCATGACAACAAATCAGCAGAACCAGGCAAATTATACTGTCAGGTTCTGATAGGTCAGAGGATTGGAAGGAATGCATGCAGAACAAATAGTATGAGTTTTATAGGGTAACGGTTAATGGGACTGAGTGTTTCGCTCATCCATCAGTCGGTGTTGCAATAGGTGTCAGATTTTATGCAAGAGTTTTGTAGCTGACAATGCTAGGCTCTACCTTATAAAACAAAAACAATGCCAGAAAAAGATTGAGGGTGAGGCATAAGAAATGCATCTATTCTTCCCAGATATCCAGTTAACTAATCTAATAATAAAGTTAACCTCTTACAAAAGGCTGCTTTGGTCAATGCCAGTGGTTCTCAACCAGGGGCCTGGTAGCAGGTTTCAGGCAGTCTACCAGGCAGGGCAGCATTAGACTCTCTGGGGTCCAAGACAAAAAGCCAAAGCCCCACTGCTGGGGGCTGAAGCCTGTGGCCCTGAGCTGAAGCCTGAGCCAATGTAGCTTTGTGGGGGGGCCCTGTGGCATGGGACTGTGTGCAATTGCCCTGCTTGCTAGCCCCTCATACGAGCCCTGGCTTTTACATGCAGAAAACACAGTTGTTGTGACACAGGTGGGCCATGGAGTTTTTATAGCATAAGGGGGTGGGAGGCCTCAAAAAGAACAAGGCTGAGAACTCCTGGAAGTTGTACGAGGAAGTTGACCAACCTGCTGTGTATGTAAATACAACTGTAAAGAGCCAG